GTGTTTTACATACACCTACTTGCGAAAACGTTGTCATAGAAAATAGGACATTTGTATTTTAGTAAAAAGGAATAAATTAAAAAGACGAAAGAAGATCACCGAGGCTGAACGCTCTCTTTTGTCTTGTTTAAATTTATTCCTTTTTACTAAATTCAAATGTTCTATTTTCTATGACAACGTTTCTGCAAGTAGGTGTATATACAGCACACAAAACAAGGGCGAATCGAGGAAAGATTTGGGTGGCTAGTCGATCGAACCATCTTTATAGTGCTTCGGTATAGAAAGAGAGCAAGAAAGAAAGAAAGAAAATGAAGAAAACAACAAACACAAGGCACTGTCTGATAATCTAATTTCGTTATGGGCTTACAATGCTCTTTGGAACTTAGCTTGTAAACCATTCTAGAAAACTTTTTATTAAATTTTTATACGTTATATATACTTATTTCAAACGGACGGATAGCTTGAAGCACGCAAGTCATGGATTTTGCCAGTTGATGGGACATGATATCTGATTTATGCTGTATGATGTATCATTGCCAGAAATTCCGAACCGACATTGGTTTCAGAAATGTGTATACTCTCGATTTCATAGTCCAGTCATAAGGTGGAAAACAATTGTTTTATTGACGTGTCAAAAACTCATAACTAATTAGCTCTGGCCCAAATATGGTTAGAAATTTCTGGCAATGTTCGTGGTAAACATTTGTTCAATTTGGCGTTTTTTCCATGCAATGTGATCTCAACAAGTGAAATTTAGTATGTCAAAAAGTGTACTCCTAGTTGGTTTCAAAATGTGATCCTTCATATATTATGATTACTATTTCTGATTACCAAAAATTATATGTGCTATGTTTTATTGCAATAGTCTCCTTCACGGTTACCTGCGCCATCTTGAAAGGTAGCCGTGTAGCGCTTAATAGTCTCCTTCACGGTTACCTGCGCCATCTTGAAAGGTAGCCGTGCCTTTGCATCGAAGCGAGACAACCGTTGAGCGTGCAATGATAAAAACCTTCTTTCACACCTACAGACAATATTCACAGGTATCTATCATTGCACGCTCAACGGTTGTCTCGCTTCGATGCAAAGGCACGGCTACCTTTCAAGATGGCGCAGGTAACCGTGAAGGAGACTATTAAGCGCTACACGGCTACCTTTCAAGATGGCGCAGGTAACCGTGAAGGAGACTATTATTTAACTCTAAGACTGAGGCATGAAATGAAAAGTTAAACAATGAGTCACTAAAGATATGACTTTCATCATATACGTTAGAGTGAAAAACTGAAGTTGTTTATGGCACGCCTTCACTGTCTTATGTGCTCAAATTCGTTTGATATTTGGTGGAAACACCATTATACGCATTGGAAAACACATTATATGTGGTTCATTTATCATCATATGCGGTGCATTTCTCGTTATATTAGGTCGATACGGCATTATACTAGGTTGATACGACAATATAAGAAGTGAATACGGTATTATGCGAGGTAGATACGGCATTATATAGGGTTCAAATGGCAATATACGATGTAGATACGCCATTATGATGTGCCATGGACACCACTACGAMAACGGCATTACATGAGGTTGATACGACTTTATACAAACAAAACATAATGCGATGGATAGGACATTATACGAACACAACATTATATGAGGTGGTCATGATATTATACGAACACAATATTTATGGGGCGCCAAGTGTCTTTTTATTATTTGGAAAAAGTTTGCAATAAATTTCCTTTATTTAGCAGATAACCATTTTGAATACTGGTTATTTAGTTAAATAACCTTTTTTCGCATCGTATGGTTTATGTAATAAAATTTGCAGTTTTGGTTATTTCCAAATAACCACTTTCGGCTATCTTGGTTATTTATAAATAACCTTATAAAACTTATTAATAATGCATAAGCTATTGCTCCAATAAGGGCTGACCATTTAATCAGGTGATTGACCTTGTAAATCTGATACAACCACTAGTGATGACTGATGCAACAGATGGCTTGCTTTCCATGTGGGATGGATAATTATTCAAAATGTTCTGTGTTGCAGTAAATTGCGCATGCTTAATAGGGACTAAACTCAGCAGTTACCTTATTTGTCATTTTTCGTCATTTATCTCACTGTAATTCATGTTAATTTGTGTTGGAGTTTTATAAGTCGTTTACAACATTCGCGTCCGTGTTGTATGGGAATTACAATCTCTCGCCTGCGGCTTGTAAACTATACAAAACTGTAAAAATGGTTATTTATAAATAACCAACATGTGAAAATGGTTATTTATAAAAACAGCCAAAACTGCGAAAATGGTTATTTAAAAATAACCAAAACTGTGAAATGGTTATTTATAAATAACCAAAATGTAAAAATGGTTATTTATAAATAACCAACATGTGAAAATGGTTATTTATAAAAACAGCCAAAACTGCGAAAATGGTTGTTTATAAATAACCAAAACTATCGAAACTGGTTATYTATTTATGRTCTTGGAAATGCTGTTTTTGAGAAGTATGGTAGTCACGTGATTGGTTTAAATGTGAGCATGCGCAATCTTTTCTCTAAGATTGATCGCAWTCAWTAWACCACATGGTTTAGCCATCTCAYATTTGCTCGTATATAAGACAMGCGAAACGCTTATAATTAGCCGTACTCTGTGATAGTAACTAGGTAACCATCAATACACGGCGGTGTATATTGTGGCTTTGGGTCCCGGTGGTTGTCCTCCCATGCAGCAGAGTAAAGGCGCCGAACAAAGTTCCTTGGAACAAAAACACCCTTACATTTGTGAGGGGGCCCCGACATCCAAGGAAGCCATGTGTGTAGGGATATACGGCTAGCAAGTGAGAAGTCGCGTTCTCATTGTAGGTTGGGAGAATAAACTACCATATGGTGCGCTCTAGGGGATTTCTT